TGTATATATATATATATACACACACACACATACACATATATATACACGTGCACACATACATACATACATACACACAGAGACACACATGCATTATATTTTTTTCATTTTATGTCACAAAATCTGCAAAGCAAATCATCTGATAGAGTACAGCATTACTCAATCTCTTCCTACTGACAGACCGTGTGAGAACTTTAACCAGAGATGCTGCCAGGTTCGTAAATCTGTAGGAGCTGCACAGATCCACAGTTTAGGAAGGAGAAACTTTAAACAGCAGGGCTGCAACTAAAGATCACTTTGCTCATCGATTAATCAGTTGATTATTTTTACAATTATTCAATTATCGGATAGCTAAAGGTTCATGAAGATTTTTTCCACAGAATTTATACCACAAGAAACTAAAACTTTTTCATTTGAGGAGTACTAGATAGGGCATTTTGACAGACAAAAAAGTTTTTTTACTCTAAATGCAAAAGGTTTTTTTGTGACAATTTCAGTGTAATTACTGCTCTAAGAGAATCACTCTATACTCCAATTAACCATTAATTGATTACTGAATTAGCTGACGATTATTTTAACAATCGATTAATTCGATTAATTGTTCAGCCCTAGTAGACAGCACAACTATTATTCAGGGTCCCAGTTTATCTGGCCCTAATAAATCAGTAAGTACTAAATAAATCAGTAAGTACAGTAAAATAGGTGAGATTTTAAACAATAATCTAATTTACTGGAATGCAGTTAACAATAACTGTAAAGTTTTACTTATTTATTTTTGCAGTGGTGGTTCACTGAGACCGTAATTAAAATTAAAACATTAAGAAGGTTTTTTTTTTTTGTAAATCTTACACAACTGGTGAAGGAAAGTCAGTTTAATTAAGGTTGTGTCTGATTTTTACACTAGTTCTGAACCAGCTTTAAAAGGAACTTAATATTTTTATTGTTATTAATTGTATTTTCAGTAATAAAAAAAAAAGCATGATCAAATTTGAAGTCCATATCACCGATCCCTAATCCAGGGCGGTGGCAGCATTATGCTAAGGGGCGCCTTTCTGATATGAGAGATTAGTAGAACTATTTATATATACAAAAAAATCAAAATTTTAAAGGGTTATGTATATTTTAGCAAAGCTTTCGTGATCCTCTAGGAGTCTCTCACACAATCAGGTTAACTTTATGACCCTCAATAGAGCAGGACTGTGCAGAGCGCGCGTGTGCGCATAGCGTATGCGCGCGCGCGTCTCTTTGCTCAGGGATCTGCGTTGCCTCAGCGATCACTCAGGCTGGAATGATGAGCGCCTCAAGGCAAATATGCACATTTTAAAGCGAGAAGTTCAAACACAGGTGGAAAAACTAAAAGAAACAGAGAGCTGTTTTTTTCCCCCCATCCATAATATTAAACTTTAACGCACTGAAAATAGTCCCTTTTTAAAAGTCTTTAAATCAGATTGAGTTTATTCTCATTTCATTCATGCAGGGGGGGGGGGGGTGACTCACTCTTTTAATTCAACAGTGCCTCTCTAAACACTTCCCACTGGCAGACTCCTGGGGACCTCTGTCTGGGTGGTCTACTAAGGTCCTGGCTCTTGTCCTTCCACACGCTGGGAGACAATGGAGGCACCATGTCCTTCATCCCCCCCTCCCTCTGCCTCCCTGCCTGCTGCCCCCCCTTCTCCACACCATCAGCTTGTCCTCTGAACCCACCAGAGCTCAAGTTTCCTGCAGTTTTGAAGGTGCCACTCTGTTAAAAATATCAGTTTTCCTCCATCCTGCCAAAACCAGGAGGATGTTTATGAGTCAGAGGCTTAATTAAACACCTAATTAATGAATAAAGTAGCTAAACTACAACAGCATTGATTTTAAAATTAAACTTACCAGTGAATAAACCAAGGAGCAAAGAGTTCCTCAGAAATTTATACCTAAAAGTCTCTGATCTGCATCTCCTCCAGAGGTTTTCCATGATCTCCAGCTGAGCAGTCCTGGTTTCTAACTGACAGTAGTTGAAAGGAAAAACGAGCTTCTCTTAAAGAAGTCAAACATTTGGTATAGTTCATCCAAGCCGTTTTGTCAAACTTTAATTTTCTTCCTCTCTCTGAAAAGCAAAGCTCCTGGTTTGGGTGTTTTTTTTCCACGTGTGGAAGCCTCTCCAGTCCCCACACCTCCAGTAAAGCAGGCTGCAGCTGAAGGTTTTTATTCCTCTCCCTCCTCCCACTGAGTTCACACTGTGGAGAGACAGAAGGGAAGTCAGGCTCAACTTTGATAAATGTTTTCAAAATAAAATACAGACTGATTATGAATATATATTTTGTAAAAAAAAAAAAAAAAATGGTTTTCCCTTTTTTTTCAGAGAACAAAATTATTGCAATATTTTTCAAATTTAAACTGTTTAAAAAACTATACTGTTTTATAAAAATATACAATAGAATAGAGAATCCCTTTATTGTGAAACACAAATTTGCATATGAAAAACATAATAGTAATGAGTTAAAAGATAAACAATAAAATACTGTACTGTAAAGTGTTTTAAAGATATAAAAACTGTGCACCAATATACAGCTATGGACATTTTACAGTTATGCATATTTGAAAATAACAGCAACATTAGAGACGTGCAAAATGACAGAAGCATGTTATTTAACTGTGCAAAATCAGCATGAATGTAACAACTTATTGAAGTTGTTGGGAACAGCTGTGGTTATAAAGTCTTTACAGCTGCTGGGAGGAAGGATCTGTGATAATTCTCCCTGGTGCATTAAGGGTGCGGCCGTCTGTCACAGAAGGAGCTCTCCAGTTCTGCAGCATCTATGCATGGGGTGGGAGACATTATCCAACAAAGATGTTAATTTAGTTAGGATGCTTTCTTTCCCCAGAGGACATCTAATCAAAGAGCTGGCCTTCCTACTTAATTCCAAAGTATATTTTTGGAATGAAATGAACTTATTTCTGGGTCAAGTTTCAGTAACTACATCCAATCCATTCATAGCAGAATAAAGAGTGAATAAATAATTGTAATAGAAAAGAATAGACCATTTGTGGGCGGGTCCAAGGCTGTCATCATGTCATAAAAAATGTATTTAACATTAATGAATCTATATCAAACCATTTTTAGATTATTAAAATGACAATAAAATCAAATCCTTTGAAAAATAAAATATAGAAGTATTTAGAAAAGGGTTTCTTTCTGTTTGAATTAGTCATTACAACACCAGAATTTTCTATTAATTGTATGAATGTTTCACTAAATTTTTCTTTTAAAATTGCAAATCAAAGCATGTGATGTGTGATGAAACCAATTTATTTTTATTCTTTTGCAACCAAGTTATTTCTTTCAATATAAATTAATTATTAAAACCTCTAAACTTGTGCATATCTTATAAAATATAAGTTATCGCGGTGGACTGTCATGATTGAAAATGACAGCATGAAGTATGCTAAATTATCTCAAAAAGCAGCACTGATCTTTAAATTCAACAGAAAATGAGAAACCCATGATCAATCTGTAAAAGGGTAATGAAAGCATTTTTGAATCACACTAAAAACCGTTAACACACAGCTTGAGAAAACATGGAATAGCAGTGAACCTTCCCAGGAGTGGGCCTACCAAAATGACTCCAAGAGCTTATCAGGAATTATCCAGGAAGTCATAAAATAACTCTGAACAGTAGTTCTCAAACCTGCTCCTCCTTCATGTTTCACGTGCCTAAAAAGCTAGATGATCACTAAAACCTTTGGAGAAATATATAATGGAAGGATCAAGTCAAAGGTGATAATAAAAAGGTGCATCATTTTGCATTTACAGGAGGAACCAGGTAATTGTTTAAAGGCGATTTTGCTTTCATTCTAAAAATTGAAAAAAAAAAAAAAAAGAAAATAAAAATACAAATAAATCTTTGTATTCTTATGTAATGTAAGTATTCAGAAACCAGTTATGAAAAACAAACATTTTGTCAAATCTTTCTTTTAATAATATATGATTTTCTATTATCTGATTAAAGACAGATTATTAAGAAATATTCACATTGTGTTGCCTACAATTGTTTATTAAAATTCCTTTATATTTATTTCATGCTGCTATAAAAAATCTAGTGCTATTTCCACAGACTGGTTTATTTATTTATTTTTTTTTTACAAACATCTATGTTTGTCTGTTTATTTTATAGGGTTTGCTTTTGTGCCAGAGTTTGTTTTTTTCACCTACTCTATGCATGTTTATATGTTATATGTTTCCCTGGTAACGCCTCATCCCTGATGCATTACAAGTTAACCCAGTGTGTTTCTAGGACTGTTCAAGACTGCGTGCCTGGATGTGTTGTCAGAATCAGACCAAAGGACACACTTTACAAAACAGCTGCACGATTCTGTAGAAAAACAACAATCAGACTGTGTTTTTAGATAGATTTTACTCTAAGGGTTCATGTACCTGTGCTAAAGTGTTTTCCAGTTGTATAAAAAGCTTAAATCATATATTTTTGACATCACCACCAGTCCAACGTCATATCCCAGCATCAAAATATTATGTTGCCTCTTGGAAATTGTCCTCAAAGAAGATTTGTATTTAACTCCATCCTTCTCTCTAACAATAGCATCCCCACAGCATGATGCTGCCCTTACCGTGTTCCACAGATAGCATGGTGGGCATAGGGTGCTGTATGTAAAGTTCACTTTTAGTCTCAAAGAGTGCTTTTTTCCTCCATCTTTGCTCCATCCCTTACATTGTTCAGGGCAGGACGGGAAATTATTTTGGCTTCTTTTTAGTGATTCTGTCTTGGGGAGAAAACACACAGAAGCTGTTGTCAAAGTCAGAGGCGGTTCTAGACAAAATTTAGCAAGGGGGCCAGGGTGGGGCCAGTGTTTTTACATAAGGGCAAAAGACCAAAGAGCAAGAAGCTTATTGGGTGAGCCACAAACCTGTAATTGTTTAAGTGAAAAGTGAAGTTTAAATATTAAACTGTTCAAATCGGTTTATAGATTTTTCTAAAAAAAATTATTTATTAGTACATTGCAAATACTTATCTATTAAGGGGTTTTTAAAAATCAGTGCATTTGCCTTTAATTTGAACAGGTAACCAAGGCTATCTGCCTAAGGAATGAGGAATTCGACAATTAAAGCAAAAGGAATTAGATACACTTGAAATAATTGTTTTTATTTTTACTAAGAACACTGCAAAAATTGAAACCTAAATAAGTAATTCTTTCTTAAAATAAGGACATTTTTTCTTAAATTTAGGAGGTAAGTGAGACACTTTGCCAATGGTACAAAACAATTTATATTTAAATAAGAAAAACAGTTGTATTGTCTTATTTTAGGTGCATCTTATCTATTGATTTCATGCTAAGAGTAAAAATACTCATTCCATTGGAAAATTATTTTATTTACCTATTCAAATTAAAGGTAAATACACTTAATTTAAGGAATTTGTGCTTATTTCTAGGTCTTTTTTACAGTGGGGAACTTTCACCATAGCCTCATATGAGTTAAAAGTGTTATGTTTGTACAATTTTTTACTTTAGATTATATTTCCCAATAGGAAAACAAAGCAGGGTGCACCCCATATATGGACCAGTGTGATTCTGGTTATACATTGTGTGTAAACAACACAACCATGTTCAGTCTGTGCTGACTTAATTACTTGTAAGGATTTAAGAGTAGCTCTAATAGATATCTAAATGGGTAAATTCAAACAATGAAGCCACTTTGATTCAATAAAGTGTAAATGTAACCAAAAGTTATGAATGTATTTTTATTTTTTAATAATTTGGATAACATGGGTGCATACAAAAGCAACTTTCAAATGATAAATGCATCAATTAAACTGTAAAAAAGCTTTCCAACTGGTGTACCGGTATTTTTCACTGCGCTGCATATATAAATAAAACATTTGCCTTCAAAGGTAGATTTTTTTATTAATTTTTATACCTCACCTGGTGAATAGTGCTACAGGCCACAAAGCATGTGCTTTTAGCCAGGAAAAGTGGATCAGATTTTCTTTAATTTAAACAAACTTTTAAAGGCAAACCACCGGGTGGCAGAAGGATGAGGGTAATTTAGCTCTCGGAAATGCCACCCACGTGGAGCAGCGATGATTCATAATGCCTTCCAGATGTTGCTTTCAAGCTGTAATAATGTGCTGCGAGAGAGACATGTAAAAACAAGCAGGTAAAACCCAGCAGGCAACATTTTCAGTTCAAACATTTAAAAGGTGACACTTTCTTCCACTATCTTTTAAAATAAATGAATAAAATTAATTTTAAAAAAGTTTCTAGAGTGCCTATTTTTTTTCCCCCAACTACATTGCACTACAGACTTATTCTATTCTAAAACTGTTTTCCTTATACCTTTCTATAAAATTGCTCCAGAAAACCACCATTAGTGACAAAAAAGGAAAGTTTTTAAAACATTTTTTTTCAGATAAGTATTAGTAGTTACGCAGGAGTATTCATTTTCCATAATAAAAAGCTAATAAAGCATTGAGAAATGCCTGTTTGCACCATTGAAACATAGAAATATCAGTTGCAAACATTACCTTTTCATGACTGTTTTTCAAAAATGATTATTATTTTGGCTTTTATTTTAATTGCCTATTAATTTCATAGAAATCATCAAGAGATTTTGAATGAATGGCCTTTATAAATAAATGGCACAATGAGGAAGAGCAACATACGGCAACACATTTTTTCTTTTTAAGAGCAATTATTATTTTTTTATTTTATGCAATAACATAAGTTACACATCAGTGTCTTTAAAGGCAGAACAAAAGAAGATTGTGATTACAGTAACAAACACCCGCAATGGAATAGAGAGAAGGAATAAGAGAAAAAATAAATTAATTAATAAAAATTAAAATAGAAACACACATGATCAACCGTTACAGGAATAATACTTGCTCCAAAAACATTCATTCACCGAGACAGATTATAGCAGAATGTCTACAGTATCCCATGTGAAATCAAATGTATCTACAAAGCATTTGAATATTGGCAATTTTCTTTTCCTAGAATAAGTAAAAAAATTTTTTTTAATCTTTGTAAACTTCTATTTCCGTATAGTCCTAATAGGAAAAAAAAAATCTTTTGGAACTTCCTTTGAGATGATTGTCTCAACAGTTCTCTTAACCTCATTCCGGAGAAGCTCCACCTCAGAGGACATTACCACATGCACTGCAACACCTTTTATATACTGTAAAGCATAGTGGTGGCTGT